AAGTTTGCAAGCTCTTTTTATCTTCATGTCTTTCATCTTTTTTAAGCAGTTTGAAAAGCATGTTTTTGACTGTGTGTGTCATTAAAATAGAGCCCTGACTGACTGAGATTGTGATGCATTTTACGGATGAGCCCAAAGGAAATCCAAGTGTTGTGCTGACAGGAGGCACAGTCTATCACCTGCTAATGTTTCACTTGATTTGATGTTTTATGGAATGTTACAGCTTGTCAGTGTTACTGTGGAAAATAGAGAATGATACTCAAATGTGCCATGTAAAAACACGATGAATCATCATAAAAGGACATACATTATTCTATTAAAGGATTTATAGCATCAAATAAATTTAAGCTTTTCTCATTTTGTTGTTTCGCCAAATGCTGAAGTACATCAATATACTGTAGTGAAAAGGTGCAAGACAGAGAATGAAACAGAAATCTGCACAACCAGTGGCACAAAGAAGACAAACACGTTTGTGACCTTTATTTAAGGGGAAAAAAGTATTTTCCAAGGTGGCCAGCAGATGGCACAGCACCTTTGGTCTCTTAGGGAAGGACAAAGACAAGAGAGCAGGGCAGGGGGGAGGATGAGAAAGAGATCTTTTGGTGAGTTTTGTTTTCCTGGTTGACTGATCTCCTTCAGTGGGCTGATTGTGAGAACAGACTCGTGGGAAGTGTTCTCTCACCGCAGGTGTCAGACTGCTGTTAGATAAGATTATTTGTGGGGGTGAGGAGGTTGCATTATTTTGTGTGTGTGTGTGTGTGTGTGTGTGTGTGTGTGTGTGTGTGTGTGTGTATGCATGCAATTCTGTTGAGTGTGTCATTCTCATTAAACGTCTGCCTGATACAAATGTGGTGTTACATTGTGTTCATTTGGAACAAATACTACAAAGGGGTTGTTTTTGACTTGCCCACTGTGCTCCATATGGTAGCACTCAGGAGGAGAAATACAGGGGAGCAGATAGAGCTTGTGCTCATAAGCCCTGTTGCTATTAGTTTTCTGTCACGTTAAACCAAAGTTGTATTAGTTTTATGTTCTTTTGGACTGAGCCTTTACTGTGTAGTCAGTCTGTATATTTCACCCTCTGATTGTGACTTTCAGAGGAAATGCTGAAGTGCTACAGTGAAACAGTGCAGTGCTGAAACAGGTGAAAATGCCTAGTGATAGCATGGTAACAAGGACTATGTATGTATATCAGTTCATGATTCTCCAAGACCTAAATTATTTTGACTTTTACCTTCTGGGTAAATGATTCTAGACTCTGTATAAAATACTCAGTACTCTTAGTGTGAAACTGGCATTTGTTTGTCTTTAACAAAGAAAAATCCAACTTGAGGTCAATATAACAGAAGAAAGTTGAATTACCCTGCTACTACCTACTTTCCCAAATAATAGTGCTAATAATGATTTTAATTCTCATAGATTGTATTGAGCCATTTTGAACTTTGGAGAAGACATTTTATATAGCTAGGTTTATTTGTTCAAAGCTCAAATTCTCCACTTTCACACACTCCAATAACATGATTTCTATGAATTTACCACTAAAGCTTAAGTAGTTGACATTTACTCAATCAGATTTTATTATCGGTTTCCCTAATACTATATTATTTTTATGAAAACCCACAGTCAAACACTATTCCTTATGATTTGCGGACGTGATAAAATTTCAACCTTCCAGCAGCAACGAGCTGCAGTTTGCTTTGTGTTTGTTAAAGTGAGTGTGTTTGGTCAGGCAAATTATAAAAACAAGCAGATAATAAGGGTTAGCAGGCATGATAAGCCATAATAACTTGTAAACTGGCAGTGGGGATAGTTTAATCCAGTCTTATGCTAATATTACTACAAGTGACTGTCAGCAATGGAAAAATACAGCACAAATATCTTTAAGCATGAGTAAACCCCCAAATAAACACATGCACAAATATAAACAGGCACACACAATGCAAGTAATTTAAAACAGGGCCTTTTTATTTGCATCTAGTAATAGGGCGAAATTATTAATGATGAATTATAAATTATTTTGCTTAGAACAATTTAGATTAGAGTACAATATTTATTAAAGTCTAAAGTCATTTATTATTTGGCCGGTATACATAGGTATATTCCTACATGAAACCAACAGGCTCTAGTTTTTTTCTGTACTAGAAGTCAAAATCATTGTGTATTGTATATACTGTATATATATTTTGCTTGCACTGATCATGTATATTCATTCATTCATTTTCTACCGCTTGTCCCTGAACGGGGTCACGGGGGGGGGGGCGGAGCCAATCCCGGCCAGCAATCGGGCGAAGGCGGGGTACGCCCTGGACAGTTCGCCAATCCATCGCAGGGCTAACACATAGACGAACAACCAGACACACGCACATGCACTCCTATGGGCAATTTAGAGACACCAATCAACCTAAGCTGCATGTCTTTGGACTGTGGGAGGAAGCCGGAGTACCCGGAGAGAACCCACGCAAGCACGGGGAGAACATGCAAACTCCACACAGAAAGGTCCTGGGCGGGGCCCGAACCCGGAACCTTCGTGCTGTGAGGCAACGGCGCTAACCACTGTGCCGATCATGTATATAAAAAAGACAATTCTGTGTAATCTTGTATATTGTGATTAAGTGTGAATTAGCATTGTTATTCTGTCATTTTTCCATTGTCATACTGTCTGTTTCATTTCCTTTTGTGTTCACTCTGTCCATGAACTAACCAGAGAATTCTAAGGAATGTATTAATAACACATTAATGATTTACTGTAAATCAGTCAGGTCATGTATCCAGCTTTGCTAATTTTACAAGTTATACATTCTGAGTACCATTTTCTCTGACTCTGTTGTAAAATACACAGTTGGAAATATGCAGAACAAAAGCTGCCAGTATCTGTATTGTTAGCTTGAGACTTTCAGGGCAGCCAACAAAAAGACAGCTACCTTGCCTAAGGCCAACTTCTTTGGCATCAATTGGAAGAAAAACATATGAAGACTATGTTAATTAAGTGCAGATATACCAAACACGCTAAGTCTTTAAGGTTGGCCTTTTATTTCACTGAGTTCATTTTTTAATTAAAAATTTTAAATGGCATACGCTTAGCATGCTTCACCTTATGTGAAACTGAACACGCTGCATTGCTTAATCAGTATAGCTGTCACACAACCAAACAAAGGAGGGAACCCCTTTAGAGAAGGCTTTTTCCCTGTGATGTCACCTTCATTCAAAATGCCACATCTGATCAGCTGCCTCTCTGTAATTACTAATGCTGACATTTATCCAGATTCCTACTGTTTTACAAGACCTTTAATTTAATTGTGCTTGATTCTGCACTTTCAGATGTCATTGGAAACTGCAAGTGTGAAATATTATTCAAATCCTGATTTAGATTTTTGTCAAGATATACAAAATTTTGGATGATATTACGTCTAATAATCAAAACAAATGTCACACATGGGGTCACTTTTACAGCGTGCGGTCTGTAAGAGGAAGAGCTGTCATAGCAAACTGTCAAAGAAGGTAGATAATATATATTTTATTTTGGAGGTAGCAATACATTTGATTTTCCTAACAAAGAAAAATGTTAGGCCAAGCATATATGACTAAACCAATGACACTGCTTTATACAAAGCCAATACGATCCTTTATTTGAAAAACAGGCACATGCACATAGTACTTCAGCTGTCAGCCTTAAATTACATAAACCATTCTTTGTTGTCATTTTAATTCATTCTCTCTTTTGTCAGCTGGGAATGTAAGAACTGACATTTTCCTGCAAGGTTGTTATAGATGACAAGTTATGTAGCTCTTGAGTAGCAGATTAAGAACTCTATATCTATCTATCTATCTATCTATGTATATATCTATCTATCTATCTATCTAAATCTGAAGCATTTGTTCTACAGTTTCCTAGTCTACTTGCAAATTCCCCATCTCTCGTCTCATTTTTTTTTCTTTATTGTCCCTTTTTGTTTAATTGAATGTTGCATGATTTTGGTGCAGTTCTAAAATATATAATGAGGTCATTTGCATTAGACTGCACATTGGGTGACCTTTGCTTTTGCCAATAATTACTGTAAAACCCGTCTCTGCCTGTCATCACCAAGGATGTGGCAGGGACCTCTCTGTGCTCACGAAAGGTTAGCTGGAGGCTTGTGTCTGGACTTATGAAAAAGCCTGAGGAAAATGTCATTAGAGCAAGGGGAAAAGACACTCAGAATTAAAAACTGGAAATTCAATCAGGATGGCTTTAAGGATGATATGTGTATGCGACTGCATGCATATCTCCAACTGAAGGGCTATAAGACGTGTCCCGGGAACATGTGAGGATTAAGAATTTCCTCTCCTCAGTGAGTGTGTAGAACATGGGAAGAAGGACACCCTGGGGGCGACTACTGTTACTGTAACTCCATAGGCCACTTTGACATTGCCAATATAAACACAAACTTGACAAGACAAACTAAACCATCCTGCTTTAAATGTCCCTGCACATATTCTGCCGTCCTGCAGATATGCTCCCGTCAAAATTTTAACATTTCCATAGCCTTCATTAATTATGTTCAACATCAATTACACTGTGTTTATAAAAGGCTCACAAATGTTGTACTTTTCATCTTGCTGAGTTTTTGTTACAGTGCATGTTTAATTTGCATGCTGTTATTAGCTGTCTTTGTGCAGTGAAACGTGACTGTACAGTATTTGCTAGCTCCCCTTCCCATCAATAACTCGGACCAAGTCAAAACAGACCTTTTACAACAATCATTCCCAGTCCTATGAAACTGGAAATGAACCTTTTTATTCATCAGTGCCTTCCTCACTTGTAAATGTTTTAATAGATTTGACATCATTCAGACAAACTGTTAAGGCTGCCTATTTCACACACTGATCAGTACTCGGTGTCAAGCAGCATGCGCTAGCCGGCTCAGCTCACTGTAAAACAATAGTGTGAAAAGGAAATTATAAATGAGCTAGCAGAGCAGAGCGCTAACATCAGAGGCTCTGTTTTGTGCTCTTGGTTCTAGTCACAGCGGCGCGTCACGTTTCACCTGCCGGATGGCTCTCAGGAGAGCTGCAGTGACAGTGGTCTGGGCGACCATGAGCCTGTAAGCAGTGGCTCCCTCCTCACACAACCTCTCCCTCTGGTGCAGGCGCAGGACGACTTCTACGAGCAGGCCTCCCCTGATAAGAGAACAGAAGCTGACGGCAACTCGGATCCCAACTCTGGTGAGTTGTAATAGATCTCATGACGATCATTGCTTTTTTAAATACACATTCATGGACGTTTTTTTTTTTTGGAGTTTCTCTATCTTTCACCCTCTCTTACTCTCTCTACGCTCTATTTTTCAAACTGAGTTTAAATAGGCCATTACAGTCAATTTAAAACATCTGCAAAATGTTCACTTTAATCCAATTTAGTGAACATTGTATGTGCTGTAATAGTGTCTTTCTTTCCAATACAATATGGCTTTTTTCAATTTCCCACTGTATTCAAGACAGACAAATCTGAACATGCTTTAAGTGTAGGCTGGGGAAAATGAAGACTGTTTCACATTTTGCTTTGGGGAATGACTAAAATTCCATAAAAGAGCGAATAAATAGTCTTGAAAAACAACATCAGACTCTATAAAGAACTCAATGTACCAAATATCATTTAATTTGGAGTCATTTGATTGCTCAAGTAGGTTTCTAGTGGATACATGAGCAGGTCATTCATTTCTCAGTTAATCATCCAGACTTGTTCATTCCTCCCAGGAGCAAACCTGGTGCTCCCATAGGCTCCTCACCTATTTGTGAAACTCATTTGATTTATTTAGAGATGATTTCCCAGTTGGAAGTCTTGGTGCTCAGCTGAAGATGTTAACTTTCCACTATTTCTGGTGGGAATGTACATCACCGACCCAGTTTTCTCATTTTATCATTAAGAGGTGAGATGTGTGCAAAGATCAAGTGCATTGCCCCAAGGTTGATGCCGGCTTACCTGCTCAGGGTGGAGCAGCCAGCCTACATACATACACATGCTGTGAGTAAACTGTGTGTGCATATTATTTCCTCCAGTCTAACTTATTAGATGTATTCAGTAAGTACTGTGTAGGTCTACAGACTCACTATCTTCTCAGATAAGTAGAGCACATGGCCCAGCCATGTGCAGCTGTAATGCAGCAAAATGACTAGTATTATTGCAGGGGAAAATCATTTAAAATTTTCGTAGCACATTAATAAGAACACATGGACTGCAAGCAGTGAAAAATTCTTTACCCCAGTAAAAAGAGTGTGTAGTGGATCGCTATGAATACACAATGTGTCTTTGACACTGGGAACCAATATTTGTTTCGTGCTTCGAGTCAACAGCAGCTGTTTTAATATTTGACTAGAACATTTCCATAATGTTAACCAGCTGTTTTACTTGCTTGAACTTAACCGACTGCCAACCAACTGTAAAACCAAACTCATGCTTTATTTGTCATTTCCATACAGTACAGTATAGAGACAACTACTGGTAATGAAAACATTGCAAGTGAATGTTTTGCAAATATATTAACCCTTTAAACTGACAGTGAGCTTTTATATCCAATATTATAAATGTTATGTCAGTGTCTTCATATAAAACAATCTGGCCCATGTTATAGCTCCTTTAATTTGTATCACCCACAATGCAAATTAAATCTATAAGAACACCATTTTCATTCACACTTGATAATATCATTGCATTTGACTTCAAAAGTGGACAGACAGCTTGACAACTAGAGACAGCAATATTACAATATATGAAAGCTGTAATTAAAATATCGGCAATTACAGGCCAGTACTGTTGATGTGCACAATGCATTTCATGGCATGTCAGACATTATGCTATACGTGAAACTGACAGACGTGAAATTAGCTACATGTCAGAAATGAGCTACACTGTAAATGTGATGTTACAAAATGTATGAACAGCCACTACAAATACCAGATTATAGTATTACAAGGCTTGAATTATTGTTGAACTGTGTGTAAAACAAACAAACAAAAAAACTCACACCTTACTAGACGCTGTTTACAAAAGAAAAAATTTGCCAAAGGTTAGAAAATTGTGCACTTACTCTTGACATGATTCAATACTGTGATGCCTGACCCTGTAAACAAATGTAACCTATTTAAGATATGAATGAATTATGAGATGATATTATTATTATTATTATGTGCACATGGTCTAAATGGCCTTTATGACTGTAAATGCAAATGAACCTATGTTTATGTACAGAGAGACAGACAGAAAGGCAAGTCTTGGTTGGTTCTCTGAAGTACAGCAAAATCAAATGTGGAGTATTTAAACTGTAAAATGCCGAATTGAAAGTCTTATGAACAACTTACATAAGCCCTTATGAAAGTGACAGGTCTGGTTACATTAACTATTTATGATTTTCAACATAAGGTATTATTTTGATCCTTTTGTTTTGTTAGTGTTGTTTGTCTGTCAGCATTTATTAACAGTGACAACACTGGTCTGATCATTGACCTTCCTGCTTGGCAGGATAATGATTTCTTGTCCTGTCTATGAGGGATGTGTTACCTGCTGTTGGTACTCTCAAATATGTGAACTCAGTGGTCCCAGGTTAACTAGTTTTGAGTAAGTCTCTGTCAGACTTTAAAAAACCACACAGTGTTTTTCTGCTACAGTCATCGTGCAATGAGACTGTTGGGTGAAAAAAGCTAACACAATCTGGAAGATATTTGACACTATTATGTTCTCTAAGTTGAGGTGTACACTGACACTATTGGAAATGACCCCATTTAGTGCAACATTTTAAATAAGGACCTTGACAGTGGGTGGTCTTACCATGATTCTTTGTTCAAGGTTTGACAGTAATATGCCTATTGCCTTTTTTCTGACATATTAAGACTATTCAAAAGATCTTCTTAAATAATCAAAGTTGAAGTGATTTTTGAAGTCTGCAGTCCTCATTTTTGTACAGGATACTGAAAAAAAATTGTTAAATGATGTTCATTTTTCTTCTTTGGTTGCAAGAAGCCTTGGGATTCATTTAGGAGATGGATTAAATTTGGCTTCAGATTAGTGATCAGTACATAGTCTTCCTCATAAGGCAACTGAGGCTTAAGTTACGATGCTACATAGTCGACATTTAGGGACAACAAAGAAATGTAATCCATAATAAATAATTCGTTTTCTAGATTTTTAATTACAAAACACTTTTTATACTAAACATTTAAATAAAATGATGATAATGAAGACTGCATTAACCTTTAGTGATGCTTGCGCAAGACAGGATGAATCAAATTCACGGCATCTCCATAGTAGTTTTCTGAACAAGTGCAGCATCTGAACATTATACCTGATTAACTCATAAACTAAAACACTGACTTGCCAAAAGGTCCCCTGTGATTTCCAAAGCACAGAATGCAGGTGTCTCATGTTAAATTGATAAAGGGATTGGGGCTAAGACTAATAACAACTGTGTCTTGGCCTTCTCTGTTTATTGCTTTTAAAAAGTGAATGTACTAATTTCCTTTATGCATTACAAAAAAATGGTTAGACTTATGTGTAGGTTGTGGCTTTCATCTGAACTAAGGAAATTTACACAGTGTGGGAGATGTGAAGTCTGATGTCTAACAGCCTTTTTTTTTTATTGAGTCTAACATGAAGAGATGTTTCATGTTTCTTTGTGACTTGAAGATATTGGTTAAGCTTTGCCACAGTGGAAAATAATGAAGTTTGTAACAAACAAACAAAAATTAGCAAAAAAAAAATAAAATAATGGGACGGAATGAAGAACACAGCTGTTTTAGTCAACATTGTGCAAATTGTGGAAAAAAAAAATAGTAACAGCATGTGAATAAATGTGATTCCAAGGAAATCAAATCAAATCAAATTTTATTTGTATAGCGCCAAATCACAACAAAAGTCATCTCAGGACACTTTACAAAGTAAGGTCTAGACCTTACTGTTATCAATATTATTACAGAGGGAAAACCCAACAAATCCCCCTTGAGCAAGCACTTGGCGACAGTGGGGAGGAAAAACTCCCTTTAACGGAAGAAACCTCCGACAGACCCCAGCTCTTGGTGGGCGGCCTTCTGCCTCGACCGGTTGGGGTGAGTGGATAGAGGAGAGACAAAAGAAGAAAAGCAACAAGACACAACAATCAAACACTGATCAGGTCGATGTGGCCGGTGACTGCT